GGGGGGGGAAGGGAGATGGGAGGTGGGCAGGGCCCTTTTAAAAGAGAACATAGTTCATATGTACAGGTGGTGCTCTTAGTGGCTGCAGCTGAGGGCGTATCCTGTCAGAACCCCAAGGACAGGCCATTACTGATACTGAATACTAACATCAGAAGCCTTCACAATTCTTCAAACAGCTAAAATCAGCTTATCAGAGCTAATATGGTAATAAAAACCTGTTTGCTCTGTAGATGAAAATGTAGAAGTAATATATGGACTATTCATTAATCCTGTATCTTGGATGTGGTCTTGTCCAACCTTCTGACAAGACAGGATGCTCTTGTTGCAGATTTTTATCTACATTATAACATTAATACCTAGTGTGCATGTTCAAATACCTTCTAGACACATTGCATATTTGTATAATAAATATAGTGGTGAGCTGCAGTGATATAACAAAGGACTTGCCTCAAGAATCAGCTGGATGTGATCTTAAAACACTTATGCTGTGGACCCCCCCCCCCCGAGACTTTATTAAGTTGGACTCTTCAAGAGTAGGACATTGGCATGTGCTTTTTATAATGAATCTCCTATATATATACCACTTTTAAAAACAACTAGATAATGGCCAGCAGTGTAGAGAATTAGATATCTTTACACACTATTAATATGATTATAAATTGACATAGTAAGGTCCATAGAACAGCTTTGCAGTTAGATATAGTTTTTAAATCTTCCCTGTATGAATAGATATATGCACAGCTTTATAATTTGAAGTTTTTTGTTTTGTTTTGTTTTCCCCTCTGTGAGACAGGGTCTCCTTATATATAGCTCAGTTTGGCCTCCAACTCAAGATCCTTCTATCTCTACCTCAAACTTTGGGATAACAGGCATAATAGTATCCCCTGCTGAAGGAAACATCCTAGCTGTATGTGGTAGTACTTGCCTATAAGCCCATTAACCCAGGGGCAAAGGTAAGAGGACCATGAGTTTGAGGACAGATTAGACCACATAGTGAGACTGTGCCTCCAAAAGTTTTCTGTAGACATGTTCGTAAGCAGCTAATGATTTATAGTACATACATAGATGAAAGCTACAGTTTACTATACAACCGTTTAAAGAATGAAGTAGAACCAGCACTAGGGGGCAGAGACATGTGGATCTCTGAGGTCAAGACCAGCCTGGTCTACAGAGCGAGTTCTAGAACAGCCAGAGCTCCACAGAGAAACCCTGCCTCAAGAAAACAAAGAAAAATATGAAGTATGCATGTATTAAAATTACTTATACATGATAAAGTTGTTATAAAGTAACTGAGATATTTGCTGGGTGTGATGGTGTTCCTATAATCCCAGTACCTGGGAGGATGAGTGAGAAGGCTCCCAGTTTAAGGACAGCCTAAGCTCCATAGTAGATCCTATTTGTTTTATGTCAGAAATATGTAGGCTTAATGTCTGCATATCTGAATTTCAAAATTAGGTTTAAAACACTTTATAATACTTATTGATTGGTTGTCTTCTTGCCTATTAGAATTTTAATACTTTTTAATCCTCTTCTAATTTTAGGCTCGATGAGAGAAAGGGAAAGTTAAGGATGCTGGAGCAGAACAATGGATTTCTCCTTCTCTTTCATGCAAGGGATCATGGGAAACACAATTCAGCAACCACCTCAACTCATTGACTCCGCCAACATCCGCCAGGAGGATGCCTTTGATAACAACAGTGACATTGTTGAAGATGGTGGCCAGACACCCTTCGAAGCTACTTTGCAACAAGGTTTTCAGTATCCACCGACAACAGAAGACCTTCCACCACTCACAAATGGCTACCCACCATCGATCAGCTTGTATGAAACTCAAACCAAATACCCGCCATATAATCAGTATCCCAATGGGTCAGCCAACGGTTTTGGTGCAGTTAGAAACTTTAGCCCCACTGACTATTACCACTCAGAGATTCCAAACACAAGACCACATGAAATTCTGGAAAAACCTTCTCCTCCACAGCCCCCACCTCCTCCTTCGGTACCACAAACTGTAATTCCAAAGAAGACAGGCTCACCTGAGATTAAACTAAAAATAACCAAAACTATCCAGAATGGCAGGGAATTGTTTGAGTCCTCCCTTTGTGGAGACCTTTTAAATGAAGTCCAGGCGAGTGGGCACACGAAGTCAAAGCATGAAAGCAGAAAGGAGAAGAGGAAAAAAAGCAACAAACACGAGGCATCCAGATCTGAAGAGCGCAAGTCACACAAAATCCCCAAATTAGAACCAGAGGGACAAAATGTAAGTTGAGACATTTTGTGTAAAGTTTTGTAATCTTTTATGTTTACTGGAAATTGGAAATCTTTTTATGTTTGTTTTTCTCTTCAAGTATATTTCTGGTGGGTTCTTTCCTGTAATCATTAGCAAGGTATTTGGAAATATTATAATTAATGAATAAATATTTGGTATGTATAATGGACATTATTAGTGAAGAGATATTTTAAAAGTGTTTGGCATGAAGTATTTTGTTTCTTTTTCTTCTTTTTTTCTTTTTCTTTTTTTTTTTTTTTTTTTTGGACAAGGTCTCTCTGTGTAGCCCTGGCTGTCCTGGTACCCTCTCTGTAGACATGGTTGCTGCTAACTAAGCAGATGTAGGAGGGAGAGCTATTAACAGTCAAGACAGTCTGCAGGGGTTGTGGCTGGGACATGGAGACAGATGCAGAACAGTATATCTGTGTGAATTTGAGGCTATCATGATCTACATAGCCAGTTCCAGGCCAGCCAGGACAATATAGTGAGACCCTGTCTCAAAAATTAAAAAAAAAAAAAATAAAGTTAGATTATTCGAACACGCTGATTAGGACTTTAGGCAGAGTTTCTGGATTTTCGAGACAGGGTTTCTCTGTGTAACAGTCCTGGTAACCATTCTTTAGATCAGGCTGGCCTTGAACTCACAGAGATCCTCCTGCCTCTACCTCCCAAGTGCTAGGATTAAAGGTGTGCGACACCACTGCCCGGCCAGATAGAGTTTTTATTAAAGCCCATGTGTACTGGTGGATTTTTGTTGCTGTTATTTACTTATCTATCTATTTGTTAGATTTTTAATCCAAAGGCATGAGCCACCATGCACAGCTCTGGTAGATTATTTTACTGTCTGAGATTTGATTGTGAAGTTTCATGGCAATAAGATAGTAAGTATGTAACAGATCAGTTAAACTTAATCAAGAGGTTGTGATATAAACTACAGATGTTTCCCAGATATGTATTTAGGAAGAAACTAATAAATGCTTATTTTGTGACAGTTATTTGCTTTCATATTTCATATATCTGAGTAAGTTAATTTATTTTTTGGTTTAAAGAAAGATTACTCCTTGTTAATAGAATGTTTCTTGGGGTAGCTGCATCCTATTATCCTAATGTGATTGGTTGTTGTCCCTCCCCACCCCCCTAAGGATCACAGTAGGTATTTCACATACTTTCCTATTTTTCTGTCATTTTCTTACTCATTTAACACATGTTGATTGAATAACATGTGTCTGACACTGTTCTATGAATTGAAGGTGTGACTGAATGTAAAGCAAAAGATGCCTGCCCACGGGTGCTTATTTCCAAGTTCATTCATTTGCATGTGTGTATGCATACACCACACACACAAAGGTTTAAAGGATGTCACATGCTGTGAAAGAAATAGAATTGAGTGATTAAGAGAAGTCACAGATACTCAGCTATTCTAATGTCATAGAATGAAGGCTTTAAAATGAAAAAAAAAATGTTTTAAGTGTATGGGTGTTCTGCCTGCATGTATGTCTGTGTATCATGTGAATACAGTGCCTGTGGAGACAGGAAGGACATTGGATTCTCTGGAACTGAAGTTACAGTAATAAACCACCATGTGGTTGCTGGGAATTGAACCCAGGTCCCCTGGAAGAGCAGACAGTGCTCTTTAACTGCTAAGCCGTCTCTCCAGCCCCCTCCCTTTTCTTTCTCTTTCATTGATTTTTAAAGTTAGCATACAATGAAATGCTCTCTAAAATGTGCTGTTTTTAATGTATTTATTGTGGGTGTCTGTGTGTCTGTGATTGCATGTACATGTGTACATGCATGCCATACCTACATGCATGGAGGTCAGAGGATAACTTGGGAAAGAAGATTCTGCTCTTTCACATGTTGATCCCAAGAAATGGACTCAGGTTCAGGCCTGGCAGCAAGTGCCCTTTATCTTGTGAGCATTTGTTCTTGTGTATGCATGCATGAGCATACAGTTACCCATGGAGGCCAGAGTTAAGAGTTACAGGCTGGCTGGGAGGAATCCCAGCACTTGGGAGGCAGAGGACAGCCTGATCTACAAAGCAAGTTTCAGGACAGGCTCCAAAGTTACCACACACACACACACACACACACACACGCACGCACGCACGCACGCACGCGCGCGCACACACACACACACACTTATAGGCTGTTGTGAGCCACTCACTGTGGTTGTTGGGAATTGAACGTGGGTTGTCTGGGAGAGCAGCAAATGTTCTTAACCACTGAACCACTGAGTCATCTATCCAACTAACTCCCTCATGAGTTCTTGATGTCATTTAACAAATACCCCACACAGAACTACCTTCCATATGTCTTTTATTGACTTTCTGTTGAGTAAATTAATAAATGGGAAGATAGAAGTTAATTGTGCACTCCAGACATACTCCATATAGCATTTCTTTTTCTCTAACTTTGCACGTGGTAGGCATGTGCTGTACCACTGAATAACATTCCCATCCCCATTGTAACATTTCTTGCCCAGACATATAGTGAAGAGAGATGAGTACACGATGGCTTTGGAGAATCACAAAAATTGAGGAGATCTGGATTTGGCTTTTAGTGTATTAGTTTCTAAGAATTGCTGTGCTAAACTGTCTTTTGCTATAAAGATTCTGCAAGTAGGATAATATTCAGCTGCATTTATTAGGCTACACTTTGTGATAAAGTTTGTTAAAAACATGTCCTAATGGTGCATGCTTGTACTCATAGCACTTGGGAAGTAGAAGCAGGAGGATCACAAGTTCAGTGTTATCTTTGGCTATATAGAGAGTTTGAGGTTAACCTGGGCTACATGAGACCCCGTCTCAAAAGACTAACAGAGTAACAAAAAATTCAACACAAACAAAAAGTACATGGAAACCCCTAATAGAAAAAGAGCTGGGAGCCATTAGAAGCAAGATTAAACAGTCTGCTTTGTTCTTGAACTTGCATTCTGCTTTATTAGAGGAGCCATGTATGGTAGAGCATGTCTAAAACCACAGCACTTACCTTCAGGCAGGAACGTTTACAGAGTAACTTCAAGACAGGCTGGGGAATCTTTGTGGTGATGGAAGAAGAGTGGGGTGTGGCCCATTAATAAATGCCCCTTTGCTCTTGAAAAATGTTAACATGTAAAATGTTCTTCTTGTACACACTTAAAAAAAACAACAGCATAAACTTTGTTGTTCAGACCATAAAAGAAAAAGGCACACTTTATCTAGTATAAATTTTTTTCCTTTGTGTGTATGGTCTGTGTGTAGTGTATGTCCATGTGTGTGTGCAAATGCATTTGACTGTGTGCTGTGTGTGGGGGCAATAGAAGCCTCAAGGAGAATGTTGGGTCTTCCACTTTATCACTTTCTATCTTGTTCCTGTGAGATAGGTTCTTGCTGTGCCTGTAGCCCTGTTGACAGCAATCCCCAGTAATTCTCCTGTCTCCATTCCTCACAGTATTGAGGTTACAGGTGTGCCATGCTTGACTGTTTTTATGTAAATGCTGGGATCTGAACTAAGGTTCTTATGTTTGCACAGCAAGTTATCTTGTCAACTTAGCCATCTGGCCATCTGGCCATCTCACCATTAATGTGAATATTAGAATTTTGTTATTTTGTGGAATATAATTTTGCTTATATGTTTGAAATTTATTTAGCTAATGTTGTTAGAACATATTTTACTTATTTACTTGTGTGTTTATTTGGTACATGCGCGTGCGTGCGTGCGTGCGTGCGTGCGTGCGTGTGTGTGTGTGTTTCCATGTTTTAGCTATTTGGAGTAATGCTGATATGAACATAGCTGTAGATACAGCTTTCTGTCCTGGAACTTGCTTTGTAAACCAGGCTGGCTTTGAACTCACAGAGATCCGCCTCTCTGCCTCCGGAGTGTTGGGAATAAAGGTGTGTGTGATCTGTCCTCATGCTGCTCCTTGTGTGTGCGCATGGCAGCACCACAGAGCATCTAGCAGAGCTTGTGCCTTCAGTAGTTGCCACTGCCTTGTACCTGGGTTACTGCAGTGTTCTAGTTGAGCATTCTGCTTCCCTCCTGCTTTCTTCCAAAATGCTTTCTACATGGCAACCAACAGCATCTTTTAAACAAAAATGACTTATTACTTGTCTGCCTCAGTCTCTTCAGTGCTTTTCATTGTACTTATGATGAAATAAAACACTTTGTCATGGTTTACAAGGCTCTTGCAATCTAGTCTGCTCTTCCCTGCTCACCTTTTAGCTTCTCTTTTCCTTGGTCAGTGGGTCAGTAGTTGTGACTTTTTTTTAAAGAAATTAACTAGTTTTTTTTTTTTTTTTAAAGAAATTAAATTTTTTTTTTTGAAGAAATGTGCACAGGTGTTTGGCCTATACGTAAGTCTGCCCCATGTATATGCCTGGTACCTGCAGAGATCAGAAAAGGGTGTTCAAGGGCTGGAGAGATGGCTCAGAGGTTAAGAGCGCCGACTGCTCTTCCAGAGGTCCTGAGTTCGGTTCCTAGCAACCACATGGTGGCTCACAACCATCCATTATAAGATCTGGTGCCCTCTTCTGGTGTGCAGATAGATATACATGGAGGCAGAATGTTGTATACATAATAATTAAATAAAATCTTTAAAAAAAAAAAAAGAAAAAAAGAAAAGGGTGTTCAAACCCTTTTCTGCTCCAATAGAGCATATTCTTAAAACAGGCCTTTCAGAGCCAGGGAAGTGGCCTGAAAGGTACATGCCTTTAAGCCTAGTGCTCAGAACCCTGTCTCCAACTCCCCTCACCCCCCAAATCTGCCTTTTAACCTTGGTTACTGTTCTAATGCTGTGAAGAAACGCCAGGACCAAGGCAGCTCATAAAAGAAAGCATAATGGGCTTTCTTATAGTTTTAGAAAATTAGTCCATGATTATCATGGCTAGAAGCAGACAGGATGGTGCAGGGGAAATAGCTGTGAGCTTTGTATCAACAGGCAGCAGGCTGAGTGAGACCCTGGGCCTAGTATGAGCTTTTGAAACCTCAAAGCCCAACCCTAGCAACACACTTCCTCCAACAAGGCCACACCTACTCCAACAAGGCCACTCTTCCTCCTAATCCTCCTCAGAAGGTTCACCAACTAACTGGAAACCAAGCATTCAGACGTATCAGTCTATGTTCAAACCGCTCCTGTTCAAACTACTGCACCTGCTTGCTTCTTCGTGTTGTTGTCTTTCTCTACTTTTTACTAAGCCAGCTCCTTTTCCTTTGACTCTTAGATCGTAACCTTTCTCAGAGAGGCCTTGAGGTCAGAACCACAGCTGTTTATAATTACAGGCTCTTATTTAATCCATCTGAATTTTATCTAACTCTGAAAAGAAATTAAGAAAATAAAAGAAAAAGAAAAATCTTTTGCCAGGCATTGTAGTACACACCTTTAATTCTAGCACTTGGGAGGCAGAGGCCATTGGTTCTCTATGAGTTTGAAACCAGCCTGGTCTACATAGTGATTTCCAAGACAGCCAGAGACCAAAACAAAACAAAACAAAACAAAAAACAAATAAAGATAAACCATTTACTTCATAGAATTTATTTATTTACCTATCTATTTTTTTTTAAGGCATAGTCTCATTAACCCTAGGTGGCCTGCCTCTGTCTCCTGAGAAAATTTGCTTTTTACAGAAAATGCAAACAATACAAAAATGTAGGTTTTCTTTTAACACTTCCCTGATCTCATTGTCAAAACAGATTACTGTTATATGCTTGTCTTATGTTGCATCAGATCTTTTCAAGGTACACATTAATTTTAATTTTTTTTTTTAGTAAAGTTTGAAGATGTTGATAGATGTGTGGATTACTGCTATGTGTTGATACTGTAATTACCATCTCTCTGGTTAAATTTCTTCTGTTTTGTATTTCTGTAGGATTCGTTCCTGTAATGTAATTTCTGCATTGAAGAATAGACATATTTTAGACTTTGGTTACTAGTCCCAAATGGCCTTGTAGACGCTCTGTTTTCTTTCAGCCTGTAGGAAATGAACCCAGTGCTTCATACATGCTCTGGCAAGCACTCTACTATAGGACTACATCATCTAACCTGCCTGTAAAATTTTTTATTTATCAATAGTAATATTTGTGTATGTGTAGGGGGATCAGCTTTTGCTAGTCACCTCTATACAACCCCCCCTTTTAATATGAAAATTCTGTTTCTCTGCTGGCCTCTGCTCAAGCTATCCTCCTGCCTGGTATTATCTGGTATTATAAGTGCACAACACTAGACCCAACTTAGACACTTACTTTTGAAGTTACCTGTTCGTTTGTTTGTGGTATTGGGTGTGTGTGTGTGTGAGTAGCCTGAAGGAATCAAGCCTCTCCCCCACCATATGAGTTCTAGGTATTGAACTCAAGTTGTCAGGTGTGGTGGCAAGTACCTTTACCATCCTGCCAGGCAAAAGTTCAGTATTTCAAAAAAATTATTTATTGAAATATTTTTATGTTTATGAGTGTTTTGCCTGCATGTCTGTATGTGTACCATGTGCATGAGTGGTGCTTCTAGAGGTCAGAAAAAGGCATTGGATCCCCTGGAACTGGAGTTGTAGTTTCTTTGAGCCTCCATGTGGGTTCTGGGAACCAAGCCCAGGTCCTCTATAAGAGCAGCCAGTGCTTTTAACCAAAGAGCCATGTCTCCAGTCTTCCAAAGTTCACTTGACAAAAAAAGAATGTATTTCTGGTGCTCATGATTTAAAAAGTAATATAATAGTTTATACATTGAATGCTTAGGTTCCATTATTTTAAATTAATATTTTAGTTAATATACAAAATAATAGGTTGCATTATGACATTTTCATATGTCATTACTCACTCATACTTGCATAAGTACCACCCTTCCCTGTGTTGCTAGTCCTCTTCCTCCCAACAGATACCCATCTTCTGCTTTTATGTCACAGGTATATGTGCGTATGTATGTATGTATGTATATGTATATATATACATACATATACATATATATGTATCATATATATATAGGAAGATAGATAATGGATATGTTGCCTTTATACCATAATTTAACCAATTTTATTTTTATGTAAGTGCATTTTAAAAAAGACTTATTTATTGAATTATGCTTGTGTGTTTGTCTATATTGGCATGTGCACATGAGTGCCTTCAGAAGTCAGCATCCTTTGCTCCTGGAGCTGGAGTTACAGGCAGTTGTGAGCCTCCAGATGTGGGTGCTAGGAACTGCAGGTGCCCCTAACTGCTGAACTGTCTCCAGCCCCATCGACATTGTCTCATTATGTTGCTTTCATAAGCAGGATGCTTTGCAGATCTTCACACTTAAAAGTTTTTCTCCTCAGTGCCTTCTCAGAAACATTTGTAGAAAATGACCTGGACAAGAGTCTGAAAATGTAAGACTTTTTCCAAAGTTCTTCTCAGAAAAATTCCAGGTTACACTTTGTGAGCTGTTTCAGGGTCCTGCTTCCCTTCAATCTGTTAACAACGTTAAAAAGAAAGCCAGCTCGGAGCTGTCAATGGGTAAAAGAGCTTTCTGAGAAAGCCTGGTGACCTGTGTCCTGTTCCTGGACCCACATAAGGGTGGAAGGAGAAAATGGACTCCCAAGTGTCACACAGAGCAACCAGGATAGGGGGTAAATGGGAGAAGAAGCCAAATTTTAAAAAAGAAAGAAGCCAGTTTGCTTAGAACAGTGCTGCTTAGGTGATAAAGGAAGAGATAAGAGTCCCAACTGGCTTAGAATGGAAAGTGAATGTTGGCATCATGTACTACATAGATAATCTCCTCACTCTTAGTACTGTGCGTCCTCATGTTCTTAACCGTGTGGTTTCCTTTGATTCTTTTCATACAGCACAGTTCCTAGTTTACTGCCTCTTTATTCTGTCCCCTACATTTTTCTGCCTAGAGACCAAATGAGAGGGTGGACACTGCACCAGAAAAACCAAGAGAAGAGCCAGTGCTCAAAGAGGCCGTCCCGGTGAGTGGCTTGTTGAATACAGTGACCAGGTATGATGTCAGAAAAAGATGACAGGGCTGGAGAGATGGCTTAGCAATTATGAGCTCTGGTTGCTCTTCCAGAGGACCCAGGTTCAATTCCTAGCACCCACCTGGTGGCTCCAGTTCTAGGGGATCCAACACTCTCTTCTGACCCCGGAGGCATTAACCGAGTATGTTGCTCATATGCAGGCAAGATATTCATACACGTGAAGTAAAATAAATGAATCTTAAACAACAGCAAAGGAGATGAAAGCACAGCGACAATCCTTTGAAGTGCACTGTTATAGCTCCTTGCCCATCTTTTGTTTTGTTTTGTTTTGTTTTGTTTTTTCGAGACGGGATTTCTCTGTGGCTTTGGAGGCTGTCCTGGAACTAGCTCTTGTAGATCAGGCTGGTCTTGAACTCACAGAGATCCACCTGCCTCTACTTCCCAAGTGCTGGGAATAAAGGCATGCGCCGCCACAGCCCAACCAGCTCCTTGTTCATCTTTATGTTAGAAAGTGCACTGGGAAAACCTTGGAGCTTTTTAGAAAATTATACAAATTATTTTCCTTATTAAAAACCATGATCATTTTGTTTTCTTTGGACTCTCAAAATGCTCCATCATTAGTTTGGCAACAGAAACCAGTAGTCCTGTTTTAGGATTTGGGATGGGCTTAATATTTTTCCTTCATTCTTTTTTTTGTTAGTTATAGATTGCAGATATCAGAGAAGAATATAACTGAAGATAATTTTACATTGTAGGCACTTTGTGTGTGTTCATGTGTATGAGTATGGTTGTGTATGTGCCACAGTTTACAACTTGGAGGTCAGAGGACAGCCCTGGGCGTCCTTCCACCTTGTTGCAGATAGTGTTTCTTTGTTTGTCCCTGTGTTTGTCAGGGTGCCTGGCCCATGAGCATCTGGAGTGCACTCTCTACCTTTCATCTTAGGAACACTGGGATCATGCATGCATGTTAGCACACCTGCTTCATGTGGGTTCTGGGGATTCTGTTTCAGCTCCTTGTGCTAGAGTGTCAAGCACTTTACCAACTGAGCCATCTCCCCAGCCCCTGTGAGCACTTGGGATGTGCTTTGTGCATAGTTCTCTCCCTTCTCTTCCCTCTTTCCCCTCTCTCTAGCCGCCCTCCCTCACTCCCCCACCTCCCTCCCTTCCCCCCGATTTCCTTTCCTTTTCATTCCCTTCACCCCTCTTTCTTTCTCTTCTGATGGAGTTTTGTAACCTTTTCCTATAGGTTCAGCCAATACTGTCTTCTGTTCCAACAACAGAAGCATCCACTGGTGTTAAGTTCCAGGTTGGTGATCTTGTTTGGTCCAAGGTGGGAACCTATCCTTGGTGGCCTTGTATGGTTTCAAGTGACCCCCAGCTTGAGGTCCATACCAAAATTAACACAAGAGGTAAGAAAAGTAATGAATAGATACTAAGTAACAAGTTTGCAATAAAGAAAAGTGAACATTTGGTGTTGTATGTGAATATAAGAATATGCATATATATTATCTGACATAAAAACATAAAACATTATGAGATTTTTATTATTGTTATGTGTTTTTGATACAGGGTCTTATACTATAGCCAATGCTGTCTGTCCTTGACCATCCAACAATTCTCCTGCCTCTGCTCCTCAGGGTTCTCTCCTCTCTCTCCCTCTCTCTCTCTCTCTCTCTCTCTCTCTCTCTCTCTCTCTCTCACACACACACACACACACACACACACACACACTTTTTCTCTCTTTCTCTCTTTTCCGAGACAGGGGTCCTCTGTGTAACAGCCCTGGCTGTCCTGGAACTCATTTTGTAGATCAGGCTGGCCTCAAACTCACAGAGATCTGCCTGCCTTTGTCTCCTGAGTGCTGGGATTAAAGGCTTGCACTACCAATGCCTGGCTGACTTTCTCATTTTTTAATGACAAATGAAATAATTAAGGTCATTTTATACTGTCAGAGAACGTCTGTAACTAATGTCTTTATTTTCTCACTATGTAGACCTGGCTAGTCTGGAACTTGCTATGTAGTTCAGGCTGGCCTGGAGCTCAGAGAGTGATGCCTACCTCTACATTCTGAGTGCTAGGAAAGGCATGTCATGCCCAGCCCTTATAATAGCTTAAAAAAAAATTATATACATGTGGGTGTCTGTGTTTCTATTTGTATGTGTTGGTGCCAAAGAGGCCAGAGGAGGGCGTTGGATCCCCAGAACTAGAGGTTGAAGGAAAGGCTTTGCACATACTAGCTGAACATTCTGTCAAGTTTTTTTTTTTTTTTAAGATTTTATTTATTTATTATGTATACAACGTTCTGCTTCCATGTATATCTGCACACCAGAAGGCACCAGATCTCATAATGGATGGTTGTGAGCCACCATGTGGTGGCTGGGAATTGAACTCAGGACCTCTGGAAGAGCAGTCTGCGCTCTTAACATCTGAGCCATCTCTCCAGCCCCTACCGCCAAGTTTTAATGCCCCCCATTGTTTTTTGTTGTTGTTTTAGATCTCTTTTTATTTTCAGTTATGTGTGTGTTGGGATATGTGCATCATGTACCCACAGAGGCTAGAAGAGGATATTAAACCCCTTAGAGCTGGAGTTACAGGCCGTTGAGAGCTAGCTGACTGATGTAGGTGCAGGGAACCAAACTTGGGTCCCCTGTAAGAGCATTATGTACTCTTAACACTGAGCCATCTCTCCAGCCCCCTCATCCACAGACCCTTTAAAATTTTTGTTTTGGTCAAGAAAGAGGTGAACCTTTGAAAATTTCTAAGGGATTATCTTAATTCAATTAGCTGATGTGAGAAGAGATGTGTGTAGTGTCAGTTCCCTGGGCATGGTATCCATGACTATATGAGAAAAATGTAGAAAGCCAACCAGTGATGTGCCCTTGGCAGGGCATCTCCTGCCAAGCCTGCTCATGTGAGTTAGATCCTGGAGCCCATATGGTGGAAGGAGAGAACCAACACTCTGGAAAGGAGGAAACTGCAAAGATGACCTCTGACCTCTGTGCTACCCACTACCCCAGTAAATGAATAAATGAATGAATGTTTTGTTTAGTTTCTTAAAAAAAAAAAAAAGTCAAAGCAGCATGTGGTGTGGTACATCCTTTTTATCCCAGCACTAAGAAAGCAGATCTCTCTAATGACTTCCACGTCAGTCAGAGCTCCGTAGCAAGACTCTGTATCAGAAATAAATTAAGTAAATAAATGCAAAACAAAAATGGAGAATGTGAACCAAGCACTTGCATCAGTTCATTGCTTTCTGTTCTTGATTGTGGTTGCAATGTGAGCAGTTCTCCAAAGCCTGCTGCTCTGACTTCCCTGATATGTTGATATAACCTGGAATTGTGAGCCAGAATAGGGTCTCATTACATTGTCCGTGCTGGCCTTGAACTCATTTGTACTCTAGGCAGCCTTTTGATATTACAGACTTTTTACCTCATCCTTCTAAAGAGCTAGGATTACAGGTCTGAGCCACCATACCAGTCTCCTGGTCTTTATTGTAATGTCTTTCATGCTTCCTTGTTTTAAAAACCCTAATCGTTTCATTTAAAAATAAAAGCATATTAGTAACTGATTAGATATTTTATATGAGTTTAATTTATAGGCTAAGCCTTTTTGAACTATGCTGTGTGTTTTGTTTTGATACAGGGTCTCATTCTGTATATTCCAAGCTGTTGCTGAGCTCATTATCCTTCTCGTAATTCTGAATTCAGGGATTATAGGTTTATCTCACCATGCCTAACTTGGTTGATCATTAGTTCACTATGGATTCCTATGGGAATCATTGTCACCCAAACAAGTACTTTCCATTATATTAAATTTCACTTGGTGCTTTATCCTTCTCTATTTCATTCGTGACTCTAAATGTACTGGGAAAGCCTTACGTATTTATAGGACATAGAAGTATAACTTGGATCTAGTCATAATAAATAATCTTAGTTTAGAAATGTTCAAATTAAGGAAAGTTATGTTCTATGTGTATTTTGTCCAAATATGATGTTTGATTTTGACCAAAACATGATGTGTGGCAGATTCCTAGGATTCTCCCACCTGGAAGTGACCTACTTAGTTCAAAGAAAGTTTGGCATGTAACTTAATTTCAGGGTACTTGCTTTGCAAACTCACTTTTTTTGGGAGGGGGGTGGACAGGGTTTCTCTGTGTAGATTTAGAGCCTGTCCTGGCACTCGCTCTGGAGACCAGGCTGGCCTCGAACTCACAGAGATCCTCCTGCCTCTGCCCCTC